TTTGATATATAAAAAGCTATCACGACACTACTTTCCATTTACAGTGGCACCTTAAATGAAAATGGACTTTAATGCTACATACCTTTGTTTTGAAATTATTCTTCTTTGTCAATTAATAAAAAAAAACTTCACGACTTAAAATGTACATTTTGCAAAAAAAAGAATCCCTATTTATCAACGATGAGATTGCTATACGAGTTACGTCACTCATATATAATTTAGCACGTGACAAATATTATGATTGGCTGATCATCATCTATTTTTTAATTATTTTTAATTGGCTGATCATACATTTTTTGGATTGGCTAGCTAATTTATAATTTTAATTTTCTAATAGTAAAATGAATTTACAAGCATAATAATCTTAAGCAAGATATAAAAAAAAATATTAATTTAATATATCAATATTACATTATGATTAATACAATTTATGAATTTAATATATTTTTGTATTATAAAGATTTGTATAACATAAAATATATAATATATAAAAATTAAACTTTAATTAAACGTATAAAATACAATAAATATATTAAAATTTTGTAATAAATGCTATGATAAAAGATTAATAATGAACCTTGTTCTATTTATTATTATGATAAAAATTTAAATAATTTTTGATGTTTAACTAAGTTAGCTATAAAAAAAAAGCATTAATTAATAGAACTATTCAACAATATTCTTATTTGTAGATAGGTCAACAAGTCTATCATTCATATTATATAATTATTGTTAAAAATGAGTAAACAAATAAATATGAAAATAAAACTATCCTAAATCTATCAATAAAATTATCACTTGAAGATCAAATTAAAAAAATAATAACTATTTTTTATAAAAGAAAACAGGAAAATTTTATATTTAATCTAAATAAATTTGATAAAATACTTGAAAATACAAATTTAGATCTAAAAGATTTTTTGCTGAAATATATAATATATTAATACTAAATGATCATTCAGTTTATAATAAAATAAAGATAAAAAACAAAATGTCACAATTTTATATTTAATGTTATGCTGGAGTTTCTATTACTTATCAAACTATATATAATTATAAAAAAAAAGGTTATCAGTGAATATCTATTAAGAATAGAAAATATTTTAATGATAATAAAAATCATCTTTATATATATAATATAGATGACTATCATAATATATATAAAAAATGACAATCTAATAATATTTTTCTATCAGAAGCCATTCATTTTGCAATAAGTGTATGTAAAAATATTAAAAGGTCTTTTTCAGTATCAATTATATTTAATAAAGTATCTGTTCATAATTCAAATAATATTGAAGCTTTACTTATTTGTAAAAAACTTATTAATCAATATCAAAAATGTTTTAATTTATCATATTTATAATGAAAAACTCAATGAAATAGCTCTAACTTACTTAAATTTGATAAAATTAATTAGCTTATAAAACATTTATATAATAATGCTATTATGAAATAAAAAAAGCAAAATGAAAGATGCATTTTATTAGAAATGTAAGAATAATAACTTTACTCTTTACAGAATTATCTTAATACATTAAATTTAATTCTAAATTATAATAAAAAAAACAAATTATCTTACTAGTAATATGACATTAATTGTTGCAGATTGATTAAGATAACTTTTTATATGCAAATCACTAACATATTTATTAAATAGAAATAGAAATTTATTAATACATTCTGAAATAATATCTTTCATTCTTTTTCTTAAACTACTATATATTTCTTTTAATATAAGAAAACATGTAATGAAAATTTATTACCTATTTTTTAAAAAGCTTTTTTATAATGTATTTGAAAAATAGAAAATTCTTGTAAAAAAATCTAAACTATAGAGAATTAACCTTTTATTAGACTTAGTATTTTTAGCATAAATTAAAATAAAAAAATTTATAATTCAAAAATTTACTTATTTGCAAAAAAATATAAAATATCAAATTATTATAAAGCTTCTAGAAAATCTTATACTAGCAGCTCTCAATATATATATTTTACTATTTTAATCTGAATCTTTTAATAATTATTTGAAAATAATCTTTCATATTTAGATCTTTTCTCTATATTGAAAATATAAAAATTATAATAATGCTTTACTTGCATTTTTATCAAATATATTTTATTAGAAAAAAAATAAACATTTAATGAAAAAGACAATAGAAAAACATTTAATTTAATTTAATAATTACTAGATAGAAAATATATATAATAGAATACGAACTACAACATTACTAAATGACAGTATTAATAATATAAAAAATAAGTTTATATTTTAAACTATCATAAATATTTAGCTTTTAGTAAAATATTCTTAATAACAAATCATTATCTATATTTATCACAAGATTTAGAATTTTTAATTAATAAGATTTATCTCTTTCTTCTTTCTTAATTTCAAAAATTTATAAAAAAAATAAAGAGATAAATTTAACTAATAATAAAAATTCATCTTTACAAAAACAGCAAATAAAGAAAAAAAAAACTTATTACTTATAATTTTCTTACTTTAAGTAAAACAGATATAATAAGTATGCTAATTGAATATAGTACTCCATTTCCTTCTTCATTTAACAGCTTGATTGCTATTATGAATTACTAGTTGCTAATAGACAAATTATCTTAATATGTTAATATAAATATCATGTAGAATACTATAAGAAATGAATCAAAATGTAAAAATTGCTTAAATTTTCATAAGAATGATATATAATGTAATATTAATACATTTCTAAAATGCTTAAATTCAGAGAAAATTGATAATAATTTAAAAAAAAATAGTCAAGAGGATGATAATGATCTGAATGATAATGCAAATAAAATTGATTTAAAAGAGAATGATATTAATCAACTTAATATGAATGAAAGAGAAATTATGGGATTAGAATTGCAAAATAAAATTATGGAGATTAATAATTAGTAAATAATGATTAAATCAAAAGGTCAAAGAGATCAATAATAAGAAAGTATAAAAATTTGAGTATGTAGACTGATTTGTTAATTTAAATTTATTTATATTAGAATGTGTTACAATAGTAAGTAAATAAATAAATAAAATATCCAAGTAGTATATAAAGTTTTTTAGCTTTAAACAATAGTAGTAAAATTTTATTAAATATATAAATTTAGTATTTTTTATAAAATATTATTATAATAAAAGTCTCTAATGAAAATGATTATACTTAATTAAATTATTTGGTAAAGTAAAAAAGTAAAAAACTAAGGTAAATATAAAGTTTTATTAACTGTTTATATATAATATAACACAGTTTGTATATAGGTAAAGATAAACGTTTTCTTATTTAAGTATTATAAAAAATGGATGATCATCAGTCAATTAAATAAATTTTTGACTATGCTTTAAAAAAAAATACTATACAATACTACCTATAAGATCTAGATATTAATTAAAAAATATTCTAGGTCTAATTTAAATAATACTAGAGAGGTACTATATAAAAAGAAGAATATTATATAAAAACTGAAAAAATTATGTGATTTGCATAATATTATAATAAAACATAAAATGTAAAAATAAACAATTTTATTTCTTTTTTTTACAAATTATCTTATAATTTCATCTACATAACAAAATTTTATTTTTAGTATTTTTTAATATAAAAAATAGCTTCTTCATATACAAACAAGAATATAAACTATATTAGAGTTATAAAAAAACTGTGTTAATAATAAAATACATGTGAAAAATTATAATTATCATTATCATGAAAAAGGGTACAGTTAAGGTTGCTTGTTTAAACTCATTTTGGATTTAGCAAAATGTCTAAACTATAGTTTTGTTAAATTTTACCTTTTTCCATTTAGATGACTTGCAAAACCTTTAAGTTTCATCTAGTAACTTAGTCACAGTAAAAGAAGTATAACTACAAAATTTAAATAAAATCCAAATAAATTTGTGATTGGTTAGATAAAAAATAACAGATTTTAAAAGTTTAACTAAGTGTAAAAAAGTTAAATACAGGTTTGTTCTCAAAATATTCTGCTTTAGAAATTGCTTTATTTAAATGAATTAAAAAAAGAAGAAATTATCTACAAGTTGTTTTATAAACTATAGTATAACTGAAGGTCAAATTGTTTGCATAATAACATGATTGGCAAATCATATATCCTAATATTTAGATTTTTACTTTTAATAATAAATAGTTAAATAGATTTATAAATTAAAATAATTTAAGTAATATATATTGTACTACAATTGTATAATATTTACCAGATAATTTAATTAAAAAATAATAAAATTTTTAGCATTTATTATGTATCAATATATTAATATAATTATCTATTAGCTTATATTAGAAATATGGATGAAATTTCAATGAAATTTGATTTGCTAATTAATACTACTATTAATAAATTAAAAGTTTATTCTGTTAGCATTCATATAATAAAATATGAGAAACTTATTTTACAGTAGTTTTAGCTTATATAACTGATAAAATCAAACTTTTTTCTCTTGTAATTTTTAAATTTAAAAATATTTTAAAATATAATTTTTTACCTAAAATCATTATAAGAGTTAATCTAACAGGATGGATAAATAAAAGTGAAATACTATATTGGATTAAAATTATTTGGGTTAAATGTATAATATTCTTCAATCCATGATCTTTATTTGTGTTAGATTTTTTTTTAATATATACTATTAATTCTGTAAAAAATCATTTTAATAAAAAAATACTAATATTGCTGTTATTCCTGAAGGATTAACATTATGTTTACAACCTTTAAATGTGTTAATAAATAAGTTATTTAAGTTAAAGGTAAGATTTATTTTATTTTAAATTAATTTATTAAAATTTAAAATTTTAATTTTAAATTAATTTAATAATTAAATATTATAGATGCAAAAAAATTATAATAGTTGGATAGCTGAATCAGTAAAAAATTAATACTTATTAATAGAATTAAAAGACCATCATATAAAATAGTTATAGATTGAATTAATAAATCATAAAATGCTATTGATAATAGTTTAATTTAAAGATCTTTTAAGTATTGCGATATTTCTAATAGTCAGGATAGAAATGAGAACAAATTAATTTTTGATTTTAATTTTCTTGAAAAATTAAATTAATTAAATGATAAAATAAAAATACAAAAATTAAATATTAGAGAAGATAAAATTAATAAAGATTAGTATTATAGGAATTTAAAATATGATAATGTATAGGATGATTAAATTTTATATATTTTTTTTTATAAATAATATAGTAATATTTAAAAATATGCATTTATATTATTGTGATATTATAATAAAATATTATGTTATTATATATTATAAGTTCTAATTATTTTTTAATTATTAACTATTATTTTAATCAAATATTTTAAATATATTTATAATAAAATTATTGATCTAGCATTATTAAAATAAAAAATTTAAAGAATTTTAAAATAACATCAGTAACAATCTTATTAAAAATGATAATAAACTTTATTAGTTCATTAAATAATACTTAGGTATTAATTAAAAATTTTAATATTTGCAACTGAATTATATCTTAATATTAATTAAGAAGGATACTATTTAGAAGGATATTATAGATAGCACTATATAGTACTAATTATGTAATAATAAAATTAGATAATCCAAAAGCTTCTCTGTTTTTTAATATTCAATTTAATAGAAAATAAAATTTTACGTTCAACAAATGTATATCAGTAAATATGAAAATTTTAATAAATTTAATTTACTATAATAATGATAATCATTTATAATGATATCATAAAATCATTTTTCTCTTCATATTCTTTTTTTGCTATTACAATATAAAGTTTTCATTTCCTTATTTCTTTTATATAAAATAGGATCTTATATAAATAAAAAAAGTAATCATTTAATATTACTAGAAAAAATGAAAACAGTAAAATGCACGTGAAAAAATTGCAATTATAATATATTATAAAAATAGCTATGGTAAAAATAAGACTGTAGCAATGTTTGATATTCAAATAAAATAACTTTGAGATTGAATATCTAAAAAATTATAGTTATTTAAAGTACAATCAGGTGTAAAACATTTAAATAGAAATGTACTTATAAAATACCTTACTTTAGAACTATTTTAATCACTTAAATAAAAAAAAAAATAAAAATTAATATACAGTCTTACAAAGCATAATTTAAATAAAAGCTAAAATACAAGCATAATAACTTCAATGGCAAATTATATGTTCTAGTATTGGATCTTTTACTTTTAATAATAAATGGTTAGATAAATTTATAAATCAAAATTAAATAATAATTATTATACTATGATTGCACAATATTTATTTAAAAAGTTAATTAAAAATAATAAGTATTTTTAATATTTATTATGTATCAGCATATACAATATAATTATCTTTTAATATTAATTGACAATATATATGAGACTCTGATATCTTTTGATCTTTTATTATTAATGTATTAGAAATACAATTAATTAGTATTTATATAATAAGACATAAAAAAACTAATTTTACAATAGTTTTAACTTATATGCAGATAAAACAAAATTTCCTTTACTTTTAATTTTAAACTTAAAAATATTCTAAAAGGAAATTTCCTTTAAAAGTTATTATTCAAATAAATCTAATAAAATTGATAAATGAAAATAAGATGCTTTATTAAATTAAAAACATTTAGATCACATGTGAAAGTTTTTCTAATTTACAGTCATTATTAGTTTTAGGTTCATTTTTATTTATATTATTAATTTTGTTAAGAGGTGTTTTAATGAAAAAATCTAATATTGCAATTATTTCTAAAGGTAATGATATATAATTTTGATATTTTAGAGATTTATTATCTTAACTATATATATTAGCTATATGTTTTAACTTATCTTACACTGTATCCCAAATGTTCTATTTGTCTTATCTATATCTTATTCTATCTATATTTTATTTATATCTCATCAATATTTCATAATAATACTGTCTAAAGGGTTAACATTTTGCTTACAACCCTTAGATATTTTAATAAATAAGTCATTTAAAATTAAAATAATTATTAGTTTAAGTAATTAATTAGTTAAAAGATCAAAGAAAACAAAAAATAATTAGTAATTACTCTCTGATTAGTTCAGAGCGAAGTGGAGGACTATATAATTCTATGCTGTTTGACTCAAGATGTCCATTTTCCCCCGCTCATAAACTGAGTCAATCAATATTATTGGTTCCTATTGATGCATAAACTTTAAAATAGTAAAATAGCATGTTATTGTTTACATTTTTAAATTTAAATTAAACTCATACCACTAAACTAAAATAAATATATCATTAAAAATATATTACTAAAAAATATATCACAAAAAAAATACCACTAAAAAAATCACTAAAAAATAACACAAGTTTACTCTCTCGATATTATAGAAATTAGGCATTCTTCTTCAGCCTTCCTTTCTTGTAATCTTATGTAATTCTGAATCTGTTAAAGTCTTTCGTAAGTAAACTACTTAAAATAAATATTGTTAAGCGAACGAACTCTTGATATTGCAACGAACGAAAGACCAGTAGCAAACTCTTGATTTCCAAGATCTATTTTGACCTTTAATAACGTAAGCCCTTAGCTTTTGTGTATTATTATCACCCACGCGAGACATAGAGAAACCTGAAATTGAGAATACAACTTTCTGAATTTACTTTATCAGATGCGTTTAATAGGAACGATTGGGATAACTTTATTCCCTTCTGGTGTTATCATACTAGGACCTTTATAAAGATCAAATTTTATGAAAACTGCTGCTGGTAGTGAAGGTGATCCAGTTTCTACAAATATAATATCATGTATAGTTCCCATTAACCCATTTACTAATCCTTCTTCAGTTCATATATTAGCCGTCAGCATGACCTGTGCATCTTTGACCAGTAACAACTGCGCTTTGAGTCCCTTTACAACATCTGAGTTAGCTTTTT